AAGAGCAGGACTTTGGAGCCTCTGTTTCTGGCTCTGTCATAGGGAAATAAAGGGTCACCTGTGAGAGATTTGCTTTAGCTTCTATAGAAAAGGGCCAGCCTTTTTGTTTGTTTGTTTTGTTTTGTTTTGTCTTGTAAAAACTATGGCATGCTTCATGAATTTGCATGTCGTCCTTGCGCAGGGCCCACGCTAATCTCTGTATCGTTCCAATTTTAGTATATGTGCTGCCGAAGCGAGCACGGGCCAGGCTTTCTTGACCGTGGCCGTTTTCCAGGAGCCTGGGGCACAGGTGGAGCTGAACGGTCAGACCTCCCATAGGTGCCTTCACCTCTCAGAGCTTCTCTCTTCTCTTCTGTAAAAGGAGATTAGTAACAACGACCCTCTTTACTTCCCTTTCACTGAGATTTTGAGGATCGAATGAGATCATGTTTGTGAAAGTATTTGACAGCCTGCATAGCCCCATGTTAATGATGTCACCTGTTCCTATGATTGCTGATAAGGGCTACCTGCCTCTCTTGCTCACGTCGGGTCTCAGGGATCAATCTGGGGGGTCATTCTATTCCTAAAACCACCATACTTTTCAGAGACGGAGGCTTTTACTGTGGGAGGCAGAAGTGGGGCCTCCTGGAGGCTCCTTAATAAACCTCCAGATAAGGTGGGATATTTCTCCTCTGCACCCGTTCCCCAGTCGGTGAAAGCAGGCTAAAGAGGTTGACCTGGGCCTGCAGCAGAGCCACCACAAAGTCCTTTGTCAGTCCATGGAGCTCCTTAGCAGCACCGGCCCAAGCATGTCTGCTCACAGAGGCATCCTCAGCACACTGTGATGGATAAAGCCAGCACCTGCCAGAGGCTTTACATCCTCAGCGATCAGAGTTCTTACATTGTGCCTTCAAAGGTTTGCCCGGCTTGTGTCAGAAACTCAGACCACTGTCCTTCAGAGGCGGCGAGGCGCCGCGCAGCGGGTGTGCCCTGGCGTGGCGGCGGGAAAGCGTGCAGAACGCTTTGGTCGGCAAACACATAAAGATGCCTGGAGAGCAAAGCTTTCTCGGAGACCTGAGGAAGAAAATCAATACTCCTGGGGAGGGGAGAGGGGGAATCTACAGGAGAGGGAAATGAGTGATATGTAATGCAATTTGCAGATGTTCTGTTTTCTCTCTCTCCCCTCAAGCAGTTGACTCAATAGAGAGCAAAACCTAAGAACCTCTGTCTGGAAAGGTGAAGGTTTAGAACCAGACGGCTTTTGCACTGGGCCACTGCTGGGGTCCAGGCCTGGTTTTTGTTTTGTTTGTTTCTTTTGCTGATTTATAGCAGTAGAGCTAAAATGGATCTTCCACAAACAGAACATTGAGTTCAGATTTGGAAAGAGTACTACGTCAGTTTTTGAAATTATTTTCCGTGCTATAAACAAAACCCAAATAAATGGGACCATTTTGGCACTTGACTTCATGAATGAATGTGGGAAACTGCTTTTCAGCAGTCTTGAGCACCAATTTGCAACCTTCAGAAGCAATTTCATCAGAAATATTGTAGAGAGAATACCCATTTTTGTATTTGTTTAAGTGGATGTGAATGAGATACGTACGGCCTTCCTTAAATGGTCGAATCTGGACTGTGAATCCCTCCTTATTGTATTATTGATGTTGAGAGCCATGTCTTAATGATCTTTGCATGCCCACTGCTTGGAATAGATAGATTCATGTTCTGGTGATGAAATCAGCATTACCATTTATCACAGAGACTACTGACCACTCTGGCCCACTTCTGTTTCTTCATCAACGTCCACTCTGTTCTAACAACTGGTTCTTCATCAAGTATATAACTGAAAGAGATCAAATATCTTCAAAGCAGCGTGAAGGGTACAAATGACCTACTCCTCCAAATCTCCCTATGTTTGCCCAGTGAACTGTCTGTCAGGCCACTGCAATCTGTAGAAATGATGGACAAGCAGTGCTTTCTGTCAAACATGCCAGAAATATTCCCTTAGGAAAGACCACACTGTAAGTGACAAAGAATGTTGACTGTTGTTACTGGCACTGACTATTAAAATGACCCACCTCATGAAAAACAGAGGGATAAAGCTTCTGGCTGAATGAATGTAGTGAAAGAGTCCCTGTTTATACCCTGCTCTTGTTTATCATTCCCCATCTTTTTAAATCAACTGAACATAGCAAAGTCAGAAGTTGGCGAAGGGAACAATGGCTTTGAACTCTGATTTCACTTTGATGTGTTTGTTCACCAACCAGGAACCCTGGAGTTAACCTTTCTCTTGCAGTCATTGATCCTGGAAGATTTGAAGGCTTTTAATAAAACTGAGCTGACCCAGGCCTAATTTTTTTTTTTAATTTGTTTAAATCATGGACTGTCTCCTACATTGCAATAGAACTCCTTACATCTATAAATGATGACAAGGAAACAGGCCCAAGATATTATTGAATGTCTAGCTGTCTTTTATTTAAATAACTTGACCAGGCCATTTTCTAAGCATAAAATAACTTTTTTTTTTTTTTTTTGAGACAGAGTCTTAGTCTGCTGCCCTGAGTAGACTGCCATGGCATCATAGCTCACAGCAACCTCAAACTCTTGGGCTCAAGCTTTGCTCCATATGGAGAGGAATAAAATTATTAAATTATTAGGGGACACAAGTGAGAGATGCCTTGTATGCCAGTATCGTCATAGATGGCCATCAGCCTGACCTCTAAACAATTTTTAACTTTGTTAAGTATAGGTACATTCTTTATATTCCAAAACAAAAGGGAGTGCATCAAAGGCAGTCAGGGGCAGTAGGATGGGTCTATGATCTCCCTTCCCCTTTATCTGTGGGAGAGGCTAACTCCCTAATCACAAATGGAAGATGGATGTATCCACACTCTTTGCCAATATTTGCTGTCATTTCTCAAAACTAATTACAAATTTACTTGTATTGCAGTAAAAGTATTTACTTGATGAATTTTGTTGTTTTCTAAATTATGTTTAAAAATTGAATGACTACCTTCTTAAGAATGATCATTTTAAAGCTCTGAATGGAGCATGTCCCGGCACTTTGGCCGAGATCATCTTTGAGTTGGCATCACAGGTGGGCCCCTTTTTCTGAAAGGGCCCACTGGGGCCTTCAGCCAGGAGCATCCCATCTGCAATTACTCGGCTAATCCCTTTATTTCAGGAAATTTGTTTCCCAATTAGAGAATGAGAAAAATCTGACTAAACAATAAATACGGAAATCATGGTGATGTAACAGGAAAAGTACGAGATTTGAAATTAGGACACCTGTTCTTCAGTCCTAAATTTGCTATTTCCTGTAGGCTCTTTCACAAATAATTAAACATGCTCAACCCCCAGTTAATCATTCATTAGCAAAAAGAATAATAACTCCTCATAAAGGTTTTTTATGAGGCCAAAAAATACAATACATGTGAAAGCTCTTTGATAACTATGAAGTTCTCTGTAACTCATTCCTTTTTACCACTGAGACAAGTTAGTGAAATAATGTTACTGTGAGCTTTGGGGTCAAAGCCAGATTTGAATGTGGCTCTAACACTGCCTTGGGAGTGGGGTGTTCTGAGGCCATGAGGTAGACAGAGTTCTGAAATTACCCCACAAGGTCTCCAAGGCTGGGAAGAGGATTGATGTCAGGCCCACAGCAAAGGGATTTTGCAGTCGTTGTTGGGGTTACTAATCAGTTGACCATGAATTAGTAAAGATGGAAATTATGGAGGGGAGCTTAATATAATCACCCCAGCTCTTTAAAAGCAAGGAGTTTTCACTAGCTGGTGGCAGAAAGGGAGAAAGATTTGACACATGCTTGCTCTTCAGAGATGATGTAAATGTAGAAAGGAACTCAGGGCGGCTTCTAGAAGCTGCGAGCAACCCTAGACAATAGCCTGCAAGAAAATAGGGACCTCAGTCCTACAACAGCAAGGGGTTAGACTCTAACCCCCAACCTGAATGGACTAGAAAGTGGATTCTCCCCACAAGCCCCACTAAGAGCCCAGCCCAGCCAACACCTTCACTTGGGCCTGTGAGACCCTGAGCAGAGAACCCCAGTGGATCTGCCCAGACTGCCAACCTACAGAGCTGAGATAATGAATGAGCATTGTTTTATTAAACTACTGGGGTTTTGTTATTTTGCCAAACAAAGGGCAACAGCAGAAAACTTATACAGGCAAGATAAAGTAGGTTAGGTAACCCACCCAGTGCCAGGAACATAGTAGGATGTCAGGGCCAGGACTGGCCAGGTCGCTGGCCTTGGCTTATCTAACTGTCCGGACATGGACCGCTGGGCTACCTTGCTCAGGATCAACTCGGCTTAGGTGTCAGGCGGTGGGGGGGGGCAATTCATCTCAGCAGGAGAAAGAGAGAAAAACAGTCTTTAAGGGAAAGAGACAATCTTGGTAGGAGAGTGAATCTTAGCAGTCTTGGAAAAGGGGCACGGAGGGAGCGCCCTCCAAGCAGGAGGAGCAGAAGAGTTAGAGTGAGCAAGTCTGTGGGAAAATGAGGATCTGGACTAAATGCTCCGGCGGCTATTTATAGAAGTGATCCCAGGGCTATCTGCACCACAGTTGTGGAGACTGCCAAGTGCTGACACTCCTGCTCTGGAGTTAAGGAGAGCCGAATCCCCACCCCATGCCCTTATCACCAAGGTGTTACTGAGATCTTGTGTGACAGGTGTTTCTTATAGTTACAGAGAGTTCAACGTTTAACTCTCGCTTCTCCTTCCCTGGAATCATCTGGTCTCCTACAGTAGGAAGAGAGGAATTTGTAGATATTACTCCCATTCCTTCCTTTAAAGCCACACTTCCCAAACTTTAATGTGTTTGGGAATCCCCTAGAGATCTTGGTACAACGTGGATTCTGATTCAGTAGATCAATGTGGGGCTGAGACTGTGCATTCATAACCAACTCCCAGATCATGCTGCTAGTCTTGGGAGCTCCCTTCCACCACTGGATCTCAACACTGACTGTGTGAGTCTCTTGAGGAACTTTCAAAATGCTAGGAAGTCTGGGTTCAACTGCTGGGAAGCCTGGGTCAACTTCCCATTTCATTGGTCTCAGGCAGAGCAGAAGCATGCGCATCTTTCTGACAGCGAGTCTTCCCTGCAACCTGGAACTTGGGGTCTTG